TTCTGGAAGGCCACTTTCCTGTAGACCAGTGTTTCTCCAAAGGGGTCACAGGCCTGCTTTGGGAAAGCCGCTAGCAGGCCTATACTGCTTTGTTTACCTAAAGGCTCTGTAGCCATGGAGCCTCATGGCTCCCATTGGCGCCAGTTTGCTGTTTCTAGCTGAAGGGAGCCGCAGGAAGCAGTGTGACACAGGACACTGCTTCCTGCAGCTCTCCTTGGCTGGAAATGGCAAACCAGAGCCAATGGAAGTAACGAGGCTCCGTGGCTATGGAGCCTTTAGGTAAACGAAGTGGCGTGGGCCTGCAGTCCACTTTGAGAAACACTGCTGTAGACGAAGGGGCCAACAGTCTTTCCAGGTTCCTGGACAAGGTGTGGGCGGGGCTCTGTGCTCCCAGAAGGGGTGGGGCCTCAACTGGAAAGGGAAGGGCTGGGCGGACAGTTTCAGCTCCACACAGAGCATGTCACACGGTGCTCCAGTGGAGATTTAAGTGGCAGCAGCAGTGTCCAGAAGCCCTTTTGAATCACCAGCCCTCTCTACCCTGTCAGTGGACCTGTCTGTAGACCAGTTTGTTTACTCCTCTATCCTTATTGTTTGGAAACGCTGCTGTACAGCCAAAGTGTCATTACACATAAGCAAGTAGCCAGATTCGCTTTTCTGAATTGGAGCAGCAGTATGTGTGGCATTTCAGTCTAATGGGAACAAAGGTGACAGCCCTTTTAAAAACTATGTAGCAAACTCTGTGCCAACTGGAATAAATGCAGCCAAATAATACTTCAGAAAAATAAGCAAAGCCACAGTTAGAGTCTCTGCAGTATCTTGGGAGGATGCCTTGTGTTTTCCCGAGCTAAAATGATTAGTGAAACTCTAACTAGCTCCAAATACAGGCATGGACTAAAGGAAACCACAGAGACCTCCCCATTACAAAATGTCATGCTTGACTGACACATGGCTCTGTGGATGAATGTTTCTGCCTCTTGAAGCTCTTTTCTCTTGAATACCAGCATGAAAATTTCTTCCATTGAGTGAGCTCTGGACTGGCTTTTTTCCCTTATGAAAGAAAATCTGAAAGCAATGCCATCTGCCAACCAAGAACAGCTTTATAGGAGAGTTTGGCAGCAAAGGAAACCTACTGTTGATAATCTCTACCTTCAACAGCAAGAGGGTTTGGGTTGTTTTTTTTTTTTAATTTTCTTCAGGAGACTTGGTTACAGGGAGCAGAGATTTATGGAGGAAATGTGCGAGTGTTCCTGCACATGCACACATATAAAATACTGCATATTATATTACACACACAAATAAACCCTCAAAATGTCTCTATCCCTCTTTTCAGCTTTTGGATTCCTATATAAAAAGGATGTACTACTTACACCCAAGGTAACATTTGTATTTCTCTACTTTTGACATTTACATGTCAAATAGGGATCTTTGTATAACAGCTCATCTGTACCTACTGTTTATCCCCACCACTGTAGAACAATCACATGCAGGAGGGGAATAGAAAGCAGTGATCAACTGAACCCTTGAGCCTATTTTCTTCCAAGAGGAAAACAAACTCTATACTATATAATATAGAAGCAGAGTTTCTCGACAGGACATATTTCCAGAAGGTTTTACACAGCTGTTTTTCCTGGATAGGTTGTTCTGAGAACCCGCGAGGAGCAGGAGAGGGACTTGTACTGCTTGATTCTGTGAAATAAGGAGCAGGAGAGGGACTTGTACTGCTTGATTCAGGATCTCTGTGAAATAATGACAACACCCTCCCTGAACATTTCCACCTCTGTAGATATCTTCAGGGTTCAATACAAGGTTGTTCTGTTCAGGCTAATTTAATCTGGTCACCAAATAAAATGAACAGGCACCAAGTTGAAAACAAACAAAAGGAGGTATTTCTTCACACCGCGCACAGAGAACCTGTGGAACCCTCTGCCAGAGGATGTTGTAAAAAACAGAACTTTAACGGATTAAAAAAAGAGCTAGATGAATTCAGGGAGGACAGGCCCATCAATGACTATAAGGCAGGATGGGTAGGAATGATGTCCCTACCCTCTGTATGTCAGAGGCTGGGAATGGGCAACAAGATTGGGATCAGTTGATGATTCCCTGTTCTGTTCATTCCTCTGGGACACCTGTCATTGGCCACTGTCGGAGGACAGGATACTGGGCTTGATGGACCTTTGGTCAGACCCAGTATGGCCACTCTTATGTTCTTATCCATTGTGTCTGTCCTGCCTTAGTTATTTTCTCATTTGCCATTATTTGGGGAATGGCTGCACTCTGAGCCATTAGCAGTTCTATGTAATTTCATATTTAATTTTGTATGCAGCACTCAGACCCAAAGTGATGAAAACTGTACGTGAATAAGTCAGGCATCATCCCCATATCTTTACAAATATCTCATCACCTTTCTGGGTATTTCAGCAGAATAAGGCACATTCCCTGAACTGTAGGCATTGCTCTGGCACATCACAACAGGACTACAACGATACCACATAGGGATGTTAAAGATGAGTCGAATAACCGATAAGAATTTTGACTGGTCGACATCCCCCCCCCCTTTATCCCCTCTATGAGATAAAGGCAGGAAGGGGTGGGGGGAAAGGATTACTTCAAAGTGGTAGTGCCACACAGTGGCATTGCCACTTTGAAGCCCCAAAGCAGCCACGTATCAGCTGTGCAGCGGATCAGCTGTGCGGCAGCTGCCCCTTTGAAACGCCACCTCTGCACATTTCAAAGGGGCAGCTGCTGTGGAGCCCAGGGTCAGCTGGGGAGTCCACAGCTGACCCCGGGCTCCTAGTGGCATGCAGTGTAGCATTACAGTCCCCCGCTGACCCTGGGCTCCATGGCTTTGAAATGCACAAGAGCCTCCACTGGGGACTCTTGTGCATTTCAAAGTAGGCATGCCACCAGCAGCCCGGAGCAAGCGGGACTTCCCACTGGCCCTGGGCTGTATGCGGAGTTCTGCATGCCTCCTTTGAAATGTACAAGAGCCCCAGGAAGGCTGTGGAAGTGCCTATTGACAAGTCAATTAACCGCATTTTAATATCCTTAATACCAGGTACATCAGACGAATATAGTTTACTGGGGGGGAGAGGTAAGGATGGGTGAGGTTTCTGTGTCTCCTAGGTATGTTAGCACTGAAAGAGTTAACTGATTTTTCAGTACCATTTTTGCTTACAGGGAGCCTCTAAATCAGGTTTCTCAGATCCGTTCCTCTGTCGTTAGTTCTTCCTGCTCTTTAGGCAAATGGAAGCCTGTTAAAAGCACATAATCTTTAATTTCTGACATTCTTCCCTGTAGTTTCATCAGTATTGAGCTAATAGTTTAAAATTACATCTAAGGTACAGTTTATGATGACGCCACAACCACTGAATTTGCTTTGAAATTCTTCTGTTCCCACAGAGCCATGCACTAAAAAGTAAGCTCACGTTTAAAAAAAAGCTTCACTCTTAAGAGCGGCAACAAAAACCTTGAAAAGGTGAACCAAGTATAAACAAAGATAGGGAGGCCTGAGTTTGCAGATGCTCTGAAACAGCTTTGAATGTTAATTGTTCCCCTCATTTTAATGGGTTAAGTCTGAAAATTATATAAGTTAATTATTAACTAATTCACTAAGTCACAGCTACAGCTACGCTGCGTAATTCACTGCTGGTCATTTTAATCAGAAATAACAAGTTAATGAACTTATCCTATAATCTCAAACACCCTCCTATGCCAGTCTCTGTGCCAGAAGCTTCAATGTTCCCCCATCTGCCTTCCAAAACCTGCAGCTCCATCCTAACAAACGTCTCCAGTTCCATTATGCATTGATAATACAGAACTCAGCAGGACAGCAAATTAGTCTCCATGTTGTTCTGCGGCCATACTTCTGTACAAATAGTACTGTATGTTTTCATTTTAATCAATTAAATGTCTCTTTCTTAAAATGTAAATGAAACTGTCCAGGATTTCTGTTCTCCTACCCCAGCGTACTACAGAATGCAAGAACCATGTTGTAAAATTCAGGTCCAACTTGCTAGAGTCAAGGCCTTGCCCATACTTTGACAAGTCATCCAGATTAGTCTCACTCTCTGCCTATTCATTCAGAGTTTAAGGGTGAAGATGGAAAAAGATATCTGGAGACTTCTAAATATTCACATTATCCCAATTAATGCAAAAGAAACAGTATTAAGCTCTGAGGAAGTTCACACGATTTTGTTGCTTCAGCCTGTTTACAGACTCAGTGAGACAATTGTCTTGGAAGATTAACCCTAAAAGTGACAAACTTAAATCTGTAATTTAAAAAAGAAAGCTTAAATACTGCACAAACTCATAGATAAGCCCAACACTCTCATGTGCCTGTTTCCTGCTCTATTTATCTAAACAACACATATTACAGTCACTAATATCTTTTCACCACTGGTAAATGGGTAAACACATTTGTCCAACCCTGATATCTCTGATATGTTATCATATGCTCTGCTCTTCTGGAAGTAAATACAAAAAGGGAATTATTCACTTACCCTGCTGTTTGTATTTAGCAACTAGAAACACTCCCTGAAGCCATAAGAAATACTTTATAAGAAATCAAACAGGCAAATATTTGTGTTGAACGCCAGGATCCATATTGTCCCACTAGTTCTTCAAAAAACAAAAAACCAGAAGGCTGGCAATACATGTGAAGGCATCAGGCCCTTGATTCAGACCTGATTCCTGATTGTTGATTGTCTAACATCCGTATTCAAAACCTTGGCTAAACCACTCAGAGGGGAGGGCTTGGGGTTTTTCAGGCCAAGAGGAAAAGCATAGTTATATAAATGATAATTGTTACAGAAACTCACTCAGGAACAGTCTGAAAAAGATCTTTTGATTTTGTATCTACACTAGACTGACTGTCTATATATCCAAGAATCTCTAATGCATCCATCTTTGTATTACCTAGACATTAACAAAAAAGACGGCTTTCTATGGGATTTTGAATGATGACCTTTGGCCCCACAGAATACAAAGAAAAGTCTACATACCTTTAAAGCACATTTCTGCTCTGTCACCTTGTTAAAACACTCCAATACTTTGCCATTAACCCCCAAGCCTAGCACCCGTTTGGAGAGCTTGTAGTCATCTGTAACTGCATGTTTTTTTATTTCTCCCCAGATATGGACAGCTCCCCCAGGCAAGGATTTCACATTGCTCTTGTTGTCCTCCTGGCTCTCTGTCTGGGGCTTCTGCTCAACCGCACTTTGTTCCATAGCAGTGAGAAGTTAGAGGGTACAGAGGTAGACACCCGATCCTCAACAGGATTTCCCCCCAACTCAGCAGATCAAAGGAAGTGCTTCAAGGAGCCCATTTGGTTGCACTGCACCCAGTTTTCCTAAACAAAAATGCAAACAAATATTGGCAATTTACTTGACAGAATCAAATTCTGCTCCTACACAATATTCTCTCTCCTCCCTTCTTCATATTTAGACATTCAGGTTTACGAAAGACTGAAGATGGTTGTTCACTTCAGAAAAGTAACTTGGGCCTATCGGCGTTTAAAAAAAAACACAAGGTAGCAGTCTATCCCTATTTATCTACACAGTAGCGGAGTGTGAGGCCTAAGTCATGGACCTGGACTTTGTTATGCCAGGCACGGTACAAACGTAACAAAAAGATGGCCCCTGCCCCAAGAAGCACAGACTCTCTAATAACAACGGTTTAATACAGTTGGACTTATGATCTGAATATCAGCCTTACAGCCTTGAATAAAGACTGCAAAGTTCAAAATAACCAATTGATTACTGACCTAAATTAATCTGGTTTCAAATGAGTAACTGATGCACAGACTCAGAAACAGTACAGGGTAGAGAGACAGCAGGAAGCCCGAAATAACAGGTTACCAAGCTGCCCTGCATAGGCTTAAGAAAAAGCAGAGGAAAGAGAGTGTTTCTAGGGCTACCATATTCGAACTTTCAAAAAAGAGGACACTCCTGAGAGGGAGTGTATCTGTATCAGTATCTACCAGTGTCCCTCACTGAGGAGCTACGTGGCTATCCCAACGCACTGGTCAAAAACTGAAAAACTCCCAAGGTACGGAGTTAATTGATCATCCTGGTTGACTGGCAATTCCAAAGCAAGAGAAATCTCCACTTCAAGTCAGGGGGGAGGAGAAAGCCCTCAGGTGAAAGGTCACCTGGCCACTTCAGTGCTGGGTCGGGGAAGGGGTGGGTGATATTCATGGGTACTTCATTTCACCTAAGGATTTACCTAGGTGTCCTGATGAAGAGTTCAGGGGCAGAGGATAAAACATGGGATGAGTTATGTATGTGGCCATCCTGGTGCACGATCACGGCCCTGGAGGAGAAACCCTGCAGGTGAGGGGTTACCTAGCTGCTCTACCATAGAATTCAGGGGGGCAAAGGCCACAGATGAGAAGTACATTCCTAACCCCAATTCAGCACCCAAAGCCGGGGGGGCTGTGGGGGAGAGGTGGCAATGGCTGCCTATGTGGAGACTCACAGGAGCGCGCTGCAAAGCAAGGAATCACCTGGCAAACGGCCTCAGTGGAGGCCACCTCCCTGGGGACCAGCCTGGGGGAGGGGCGGCAGGGCCCGGGAGGGGAGGGGCCAAG